TCACAAGCTGCTTCTTGTCCAGGAGGTGCAAGCCCTCCTATATGTGGGGGTCGTAGAGGAGGTTCCTCAGGACTTAAGAGGGAAGGGGTTTTTACTCCCGATATTTCCTAATCCTGAAGGCTGGGAGCGAGGGAGAGGGGAAAGCTACAACCTATCCTGGACCTGCGTCGCTTCTACAAATATTTCAAGAAAGTCAACAGAAGTCAATTCTAGTCCCAGTTCAGAGAATAGAGTTCTTTGGGGCAGTGCTCGACTTGACCCAGGCCAAAGCCTCCCTACCGGAAGCCCAATTCTGAGGTATCACACCTGATTTCCAAGGTCCCGATCCCCCCCAATAACGACCGCTCAGTTTTGCCTCAAACTATTTAGACACATGATGGCATGTACCTGCCTCGTGCAGTATGCAAGGTTGTGCCTCATACCTCTCCAGATATGGCTGGTATCAGTCTACTCCCCGAGCAGACACCACCTGGACTCTACTCACAATTCCGCCTCTGGGCGTGGTGGAGAGACCCAGGATCCATAATGGAAGTGGTACCCTTTGCTGCCCCTGAACTGTCGATAACCCTATTCTTGGATGCGTCAGACCTGGGATGGGGAGCCCACCTTGTCAGTATCATCTTCCAGAGGTAGGGGCCTTCCCAGGTGGACCTGTTTGCCACCAGACAGAACAGGAAATGCCATCAGTTCTGTTGGCTGCGCGGGCACAGCCTGGGTTCCCTCTCCAATGCTTTCCAGCTCTCATGGGCAGATCACTTACTGTACGCTTTCCCACCGATCACCTTGGTTCATAAGGTCCTTCTAAACATCAAACAGGACAAGGCGAAGGTTATCCTGATAGCACCGGCGTGGCCATCCCAGCATTGGTTCGATACGCTTCTGAACCTCTCAGTGGCAGTGCCACTCGTGCTTCCACTCCTCCCGGACTTGATTTCACAAGACCATGGCTAACCTCACCTCGTCTTCCTGCATCTGACTGTATGGTGGTTGTGTGACTGAAGCCTGAGGAGCAGGCCTGCTCAGATCAGGTTAGACAGGTCTTGCTAGGTAGTAAAAAGCCTTCCTCCAGGCTGGCCCAGTGGAAACGTTTCACTTGTTGGGTCTCTGAACAGAATCTTTCTCCATCCCAATCTTCTCTGCAGACTTTCTTGGACTACCTGCTCCACCTAAAGCATCAGGATCTGGCTCGCTCATCTATTAAGGTTCACTTGGCAGCCATCCACCCGTCTGTGAATGGCAGATCAGTGTTCTTCCACGAGATGATGGTCAAGTTTCTCAGGGGGCTGGAAAGACTTTACCCTTAGGTTCGTGAATCGACCCTCCCCCTCCTCCCCCTTGCCATGGGTTTCACAGGGCCTCCCGTCAAGCCATTAGTATCATGTCCCATACTTCTGCTCTCTTGGAAGGTCGTCTTCCAGATAGCGATCATCTCAGCCAGAAAGGTCTCTGAGATTAAGCCTTATGTCAGAACTCCCTTATATGGTGCTCTTCAAGGACAAGGTCCAGCTGTGTCCCCATCCGGCCTTCCTACCAAAAGTGATGTCGCAATTCCACAACAACCAGGACATTTTTCTACCTGTCTTCTTTCCAAAACTTCACAAGACTACTGGGGAACATTGGATGTTAGGTGGGCCCTCACAATCTATATTGAGAGAACTAAGCCCTTCAGCAAGTCTACACAACTCTTTGTAGCAGTAGTGGAAAGGATGAGAAGGGTACCTGTGTCATCCCAAAGAATCTCGTCCTGGATAATTGCCTGTATCCAAACTTGCTACAAACAGGCGAAGGTTCTGCCTCTGGCCATAGTGATCACTCATTCCACAAGAGCCCAGGCTTTCTAGGCAGCATTCATCACAGGGGTACCAATCCAGGACATCTGCAGGGCTGCTACCTGGCTGTTGGTTCATATTTGTGCTTCCCGCTATGCCATCATCCAACAGGCCTGTGATGATGTCAGTTTCAGGAGAGCAGTATTGCAGTCAGCATGTCCATGAACTCCAAGTCCACCTCGAGGGGTACTGCTTGTGAATCACCTAGTATGGAATGGACATGAGCAAGCACTCAAAATAAAAAAACAGTTACTAACCTTTCCTAACTGTTGTTCTTCGAGATTTGCTGCTCATGTCCATTCCAGAACTGACCCTCCTACCCCTCTGTCAGAATTACCGGCAAGGGGGCGTAGGGCTGGGGGCGCTCTTTATACCAGCGCATAACTGCATAACTCAAAGGCTGCTAGAGCTGGACCAACGGATACCTCTGAGGGAAAAATCTCTGGAAGAACAACAGTAATGAAAGGTTAGTAAATATTTTATCTTGTCTCAGCTTGCAGCTTGTTGCCATAGCTAATACGGCCCTGTGGTAGCATCTTTGCATCCACAAAGTCCAGAGCTGCAGTTCTGGTAAGTCCGACTTTGGGAATAACTGACTAGATGGTAGTAGTGCTGAAAAGGATCTGGGGGTTAGAATGGATCACAAATTGAATATGAGTCAACAATGTGGTGCAATTGTGAAAAAGGCTGGTATCATTCTGGGGTGTATTAACAGGTGGGTGTAAGACATGGAAGGTGGTAGTTCTGCTCTAGCTGGCCTCCTCTGGAGTATTGTGTTGAGTTCTGGACACCACACTTGAGGAAAAATGTGGACAAATTGGAAAGAACCCGGAGGAGAGCAAGAAAAAAAAAAAGGGAGGGATAGGTCAGTGGTTTGAGCATTGGCCTGCTAAACCCAGGGTTGTGAGTTCACTCCTAGTCTATAAGGTGCCACCGGACTCTTTGCTGCTTATAAAGAGGACTGCGATCAGTTGTTTTCCATGTCTCTTGAGGGTAGGATAAAAAGCAATTGGTTTAATCTGGAACAAAGGAGATTTAGGTTTGATATTAAGAAAATGTTTCTATTGATAAGGATAGTTAAGCTCTGGAATAAGCTTCCAAGGGATGTTATGGAATCCCCATCATTGAAGGTTTTTAAGAACAGGTTGGACAAACACCTGTCAGGGATGGTTTAGGTTTACTTGGTCCTGCTTCAGCACAGGAGACTAGGTTAGATGACTTTTTGAATTCCCTTCTAGATGTCCATTTCTATCGTTCTGAGATTTCCTTCTGTCAGTATTAGTGTGTTTTAAAGACCAGTGATTCATCTTGGGATCCCTCAGTATGTCTTGATCTTCATTAACAAGCTAGGATATGTACCTTTCTTTGACACTTTAGGGCAGACTTGTGTCCTTTAAGATACTTTCTTTGTTGCAGCAATCTCACAATGATGAGGGAGTGAGCTCATCTTTAATCATCCCTTCTCCTCACCCTCTGTTCTTTCTAGAAAGTTTTTTTTATTAGCTTACTCTTTGTCCCCAAAGTGAACACCCAGTTCCATGTGAGTGAACCCATTGTTCTTCATCTGTCTGAACCCGGTACTCCCTTCGGACAATAGGCTGTGTTTTGTTAAGCGTGTTCTCAAGTTCGATCTTAATAATTCTCAGGAATTTAGAAAGTCAAAACCGCTGTCTCTGTTTGGAGGGTTTTAAAGGCTGCAGCTAATGCCAGTGTTGCTTTTTGTGCTTTAGGCTGCATTCTTGCAGCATATGACCAGGTTGGTGGGCTTGGCTTGGATTTATCAGGTGCTACTTGGCTAGAAAAGCTTCCTCTTTATGGGCAGTGAGCATTCATTTCCTAGGTATATAAGGTGGCAATCTGGTCGTCATCCTGCTTCTTGATATACCTCCTCATTAACTGGGCCTCTTTGCTTCTCAGGCTGTCTTTTGGCTCTAGGGCCCTGCTAGCAACACGGTAAGGTAGGCCTCCTGCGACAACTGCTTGTTACATACACTGTCTGTCCAGTAATGCACTTTCGTAGGTGGGAGAAGTGAGAGGCATATGACAAAGGAACATTACTTACTGGTAATTCTGTTTGTCATAGTTTCCTCTTCTCCCCTCCTTCCCCCCCCCCTTACAAGGTGCTTGCCTGTTACTTATCTTGGTGTCTTACAGACTGACTTGGAAGTTAGACTAGAGGGAGGCTTTCTGGCTGAAACTCATGTAATCAAGATGGGGTTTCAGAACTCTTTGACTCCTTTCTTCCAATAGGTGAAACTACAGCACTGTCTGGCCATTAATCCTGTGTAGTAGAATGATAGAAGAGGAAAATGCAACTAACAGAATGTGATTTTAGGTTTTTTCCCTTTCATCTCGCTTTATTCATGATCTTTTACCGAAGAGAGTTAACAACTTGTCTTTATATTACCTTTCGTCAATAACTAGAATTCTGGGTGTTAGAGGCTCCAAAAGGTTAGAGGCAACTTGCAAGGGCAGAAACACAGTTTTTCTTGTGTCCTTTTGCCATCTTTTATGATATCTAAACTTCAGCCTGAAAGTTGTTTTACTTTAAAAAAACAAACAAACAAAAAAAACCCTGCTTGTTTTTGTATATCAGAAATTAGGTTCTATCCAGGCTGGAAGATGTAAAAGTCAGACTACACCTCTACCCCAATATAACACGAATTCAGGTATAATGCGATAAAGCAGTTCTCTGGAGGGACGGGGGGGAGGGGCTGCGCACTCCGGTGGATCAAAGCAAGTTTGATATAACGTGGTTTTCACCTGGCTCCCGAGGACAGCATTATATCGGAGTAGAGGTGTATTTGAAAGTCTGTTTTTGTTTTTTATCAGCTATTTAACTTCACTGATTGTCATTATGAATAAGGAAGCCTTGTTAAAGATGTACCCCCAAATCTTCAATTAAGGTAGTAGAGGCCACATTAAACATGCCCTGAGATGTCCCAACATTTCCCAAGCAAAACCAAGGAAGGTCTGACTTGCTATTCCTGATATCTAAGGTTAAAGGGGCGGGGGGGGGACCTTTCAAGTGTTCTTTATATATTGTAAAGAAGCAAAAAGATGTTAAAAAAAATTCCAGGTCACTTTTCAAAATTGGTCTTGTCTTTTCAGGCTTTTTTGCTCCATGATAGCACAGAATGAATTGAATCCATTGCATGTTTTTTGTTATAGTTGATTCTTCTCTGTGGAGGAATTCCTTTCCTTTGGAATGTATCTGGACAAATCTCTGGTCGTGCTGGTTTTGAACCAGAATACGAGGTAAGCATTTTTAACTGTTTGTGAAAATGATGGGTTCCTAAACTGTGTGTATAACAGAATTTATGGTAAAGCTCCCATTTAGTTTTATTGTACTGTAGAGTAAAAAAAGTTTATATATTTATAGTTAATTTTCTGATATGGTGAACTGGATGGTTCTGAGGACTGATGATAGTATATGAAGCCTTTTGTTACTAGATCACTAATTCAAATCCTGCCTGGTCTCTGGCCATCAAACAGCTTTTTGTCACACAAGTCAATTGAGATGGTTATCAGTTTTTTAGTGGCACCCTTTTGCAGTCTCAGAATGGACACAAAGAGGGCTCACTCCTAGATGTGGTTTTTCCAGGTCAGAGATGTGGGGAGGAAGTGTGAGGCTTCCTGGGTGATGTCTATTTGGTGAATTAAATAAATAAATAAAGTTAAAAAAAAGTAAAATTAATGGAGATATCCTATCTCCTAGAACTGGAAGGAACCTTGAAAGGTCATCGAGTCCAGCCCCCTGCCTTCACTAACAGGACCAAGTACTGATTTTGCCCCAGATCCGTAAGTGGTGCCCTCAAGGATTGAATTCACAACCCTGGGTTTAGCAGGCCAATGCTCAAACCCCTGAGCTATCCCTCCCCCACCCCCTCAATGAATTCGTGTTCTTCTCAATGCTGGAAGCCCTGACAAGTAAGAAAAAATACTTACAGTGAATAATTTAAAATGGAAAGAAACTTTTTTTCCTTCTCCCTCATTGTATTGCCTTGGCAGATCCCCATGTAACCACCATAGAGGGGGTAAATTACCTTGCCTTACCTATCCCTCAGTTCTTTTCTGGTCATGGTAGTCCTGGATCCCAACCTTCTTTTTGCATGGTCTAAGGCTATTGCTACACTATGGGCACTATAGTGGTACAGCTGTAGGGTAGATGCTTTCTGTTGTTCCATAACTGTAGGCACTCCACCTCCTCGAGTGATGGTAGCTAGCTCTGTCTGCACAGGTAGGTTGGCATAGCTAGGGCACTTGGGGTGTTGTTTTCCCCCCCACACACCCTGAGCACCATAGTTATGTCAACCTAACTTTTAGGTGTAGACCAGGCCTTAATTTTTACTGCTAAAATTAAACACTATGTAAAACTTTATCTTTTGTTGAATAGTTTTTAGTATAAAAACTGATCCAAACCCATAGAAGTCAATGGGAAGACTCCCGTTGATTTCTGTAGACTCTGGATAAAGCCCATAGTTAAGATTTGTTTTTGTAGCATTTAGGATTTATCAGTCAGAATTTGCTGCTATGGTAGACAGAGTGTGCAGAATAGGAGAAGAGACTTTCTTCTTGCTGTTCAAGTAGGTCACGTTCAAACCAGCAATGCAACTTCAGCATTTTGTTTAGAAACATTTTAAGCTACAGTCCCACAATCAAGAAAGAAGGCCATATTGGATAAGAAACTTACCTGGTTTAGAGGGGAATTAAAACAGACAAAAAACAAATGGAAGAAAAGAGAAGTTGATAGTAATGAACATAAATCAGAAGCTAGGAATTGGAAAAAAATGATGAGGGAAGCAAAGTGACACTAGGATGAGACTACCTACTATGGCATTTAGCCGATCTGTCACTGCAGCAAATGTCTACAATGACTGATGATGGTACATTAGATGGGGAGGGCTCTGAATTACTACAGAAACTTCTTTCCCGTATGTCTTGCTGTGGGTCTTGCCCATGTTCTTAGGGTCCAATTGATCTCCATATTTGGGGTCGGGAAGGAATTTTCCCCCTGTTCAGGTGGTAGAGACCCTGGGGTTTTTCACCTTCCTCCAGAGCATGGGGCATGGGTCACTTGAAGGTTTAACCTAGTGTAAATTGTGGGCTCTCTGTTACTTGAATTCTTTAGTTCATGATTTGAGGACTTCAGTAACTCAGCCAGAGGTTAGGGGTCTATTATAGGAATGGGTGGGTGAGATTCTGTGACCTGCAATGTGCAGGAGGTCAGATTAGATGATCATGATGATTCTGATCTTAGAGCAGAGGGGACGGGGCCATGACCACCCCACTCTTTAACAAAAGAAACCACCTTGGTGGCCAAGGGCGGGTAGTGCCGGATTCGCTCTGCTCCAGAGAGGCACTGCATTCTCCTCCTCATCATCATCAGCCCCATATCACCTGGGGCTGCTCCGCCGCCTACCTGCATCTCATGGGCGGACTCCCTGTATGGCTGCAGCTCACAGCCTGGCTCCGAAAGCAACAGACGCGTCCCAGTCCAGGCAGAGGACGCCCAACTCAGACTGAGGGTGGGTGCGGATGCCCACTGCAGTGTTGAGAGGGGGGAGGGGAGTCCATGGGTACAGTTTGGGGATCAGCAGGGGGTCATTGGCTCCCCAAACAGAGGCAAGGTGTGGTGTGTGTGGGGGGTGCACGCTGAGTCACTGCCACTGCTCCACTCCTCCCCCCATTTTTGTGAGCACGGAGCTGCTCTGCCTGAGGGAAAAGGGGGCTCTGTCCGTCTCACACTGTGTCTTCCTCCTCTTCTGCATGTTCCTGGCTCACTCAGTTCCTCTCCCCAGCATCCACTTTGCTGCCTCTTGCAAGGGTGGGGGGGAGTGGGGAAGGGATAAGGCGCGGGGCGGAGGGGGGAGTGAAGGGGTTGGGAGGGGATAGAGCAGGGAGGGGGAAACTCAAAGCTATTAGGGGAAATCTTCCTGGCAATGTGATCTCTGCCTTAGGCTGTGGAATAGTCTCCTTTGGGACTTTTAAAAGGAGACTGGACAAAACATACCGTAAGGATCAGCCCTGCATTGGTGGCAGGAGAGACCGAGCCGGGATGATCACAGAGGGCTTTTTTCCCTGTAACTTCTATAATTCCATCCCACTATTCAGGGAGTACAAATTCTGGTACTAAAGGCCTGGGTGCCTGGATCCCATTGCACTGGGATTGTGAATTAATACCTTGATATGCAACTCCTACTGGGCCAGTAGTGCAGATCCTGCTGCTAGTAAAGCTGTTTGCAGGTGCCCTTGTGTTTAGCTGAACCCTTACACTCAGGGATTGAGTGCATCCCCACTATACTGAGAGCATGCACTGTGACACTGCTATCTTGCTGTGTGGATCCCAGTGTGCTTGTACTGTGAATTTTTGACATGCTGCTACATTAATCTCATTGTGCTGGTAGTACTAGTTCTCTGGTGTAATGATGACATTATGCTAGGAATATGAATCCTGAAAATAGTGCTCTGGTGTAATGGTCACTCTGGGCTGTTAATGTGAATCCTCCATTTTTGTATGCAGTATTGTTGTACCTCTTCTTCTGTTGGTGAGAGAGACAAGCTTCTGAGCTTATGCAGAACTCTTCTTCAGGTCTGTAAGCTCGAAAGCTTGTCTCTCTCACCAATGGAAGCTGGTCCAATAAAATATATTACATCACCCACCTTGTCTCTCTAATATGAATCCTGTCATGGCCCTTTTGGATGCACCCTAACATACTGAGAGCATGAATCTTGGCCACTAGAGGAGGAGTGTAAATCTTGATGCCAGAAGCCTGCTGTGTAGAGCTCACGCCACTCTGAGCCTGGGAGTTTTAATTTTGGCATGTGTATCCTGATGCCAATCCATGAAGGCAGTGGAGTTTGGAAATAAGGTGAACACAGGGCTAATCTTATGGTTGGGCACTGTGGTCAGGGGGGCGCTGTGATCAAGAGGCAAGGAGAGGGTTGGGCTTGGGGTGCAAAGTCATGGAAGGGAACTTAGGGCAATGGGGGGAGGCAGTGGGGCCCAGGAGTGATAGGGGAGGGATTCCTCTGCCACTTTGACCTTAGCGCCCCCCCCCACACACACACTTTTACAAAGGTTCAGGCACCTTGCCTTAAAGTCAATGAAGCTAATGGATGACATCAAGAAGGCTGAGGTATTTAATGCCTGTTTTGCTTCAGTCTTCACTAAAAAGGTAAATTGAAACCAGATACATAACACAATTAATATTAACTACCAGGGGAAGAAATGCAAGCCAAAAATATGGAAAGAACAGGTTAAAGAATATTTAGATAAGTGAAAAGTGCTCAAGTCAGCAGGGCCTGATGAAATTCACCCTAGTGTACTTATGGAACTAGCTGAAGCTATATCAGAACTGTTAAACTAAGAACTTTTAAACTAAGAGATGGGGGATTGCTGCAGCGGAGCACGTGGACAGAGACTTCTCTTAGAGGAGAGTCTATTGATAGAGATTCTCTAGGTTCTAGTCAGGAGGAGAGGCGGAAGATAAAGTATGGGCCAGATTAGACGAGAAACATTCACATAATAAAGAATCTGACACATCAGAAAAGGGCAGACAAATAAA